GATACTGTAATGTCCATCATTGCTAACTTTTGATAAATTTGTCGTGCTGGAGAACATTTCCCGCGGACCGGCAAAAACCTTCCGTGGACCGGTGCCGGTTCACAGACCACGGTTTAGGGAACGCTGATCTAGAATACTAGACTGTTGATTTTCCTCCCATCATCGGACGTTGCAGAAGCATTCCTATGTGAACTATGTGTGTCTTAAATTATTGCTCCTTTATAAAGACGACCGAATGTTAGTGCTTTGATCAGTTCTAATCACGTGCAGGTGGTGTTTTCGCTTTGTGACTGAAGCCGAGGAAAACGTGATTGTATCATCTCTATCCATCAACTAACGCTGATCGTGTGAGGAAAATTCTATTAATACAGTAATTTAAACGTTGAAGTATGTTTTAGCCTTAATAAAAATAAAATCAGGCTACAATTTGTTGATCGCTTCAAGGTTTTGGCACACTAAAACGGAAATTTAGAAAGGCCGAGAAGACCGTATGTTGATTGTAAATATTTTGCAAGAAGTGGTACCTAGTCTGTAATTGAAAATCGTTTTCTCTGAAGTGATTCGAATCCTTTAGTGGAAAAACAAAATTAGCAAATTCGAAAAAATGGTCATGTGAAAACGTCATGATTCGGTTATTTGAGAAGGAATTGAAGTGATTTTGGAAGCATTTCTCGAATCTGTTGTGATTTATCTTTCGGAAATCTTCCAGTGTACTCAATATTTTTCTCCGTTTATATACGAAGAAAGCCTTTGCGTATGAATTGCGAAAAAAGGAGAATTTAAAAATGAATAAAAATAAATAAAAAGGCAATACAATTATAAAAATGAAGAATTTGTTTTTTTTAAATCACAAAATGAAGCATACCGAAAGTCTAAATTTTTCGGTTGTCGTATGAATTCCCGAGAGGCGGTTTCGAGGCGCTATAAGGAAACAGCAGTTTTTATGATCCATTGAGAGGCTGAAACAACTTCGTTTACAGCCAACAGTAAGGTCAAATCGTTGAACGGTTGCAGCAGCCAAGTAATAAACCTTTGACGTTTCATTATTTGTTTGATCCATCTCTGAAAATAGCGACACTTGATGGGTTGAATTATTTTTTTAAAAGCAAATTTGACTTGTTCATGCATTTAATTTGAAAAGTGAACGAATGACTTGATATCAACTTATTCAGCGAATGTTTTGTTCAACTGCAATATTTTCAAAATGTACCAAATTATGCGTCAAAAGGTTTCCACGGAGTTTAGGTTTTACTTCGAATGTAAAAAAAAAGCAAAAATATTCCCGACTTCCTGTAATTTGAGAGGCATATTTTTCCAAGCTACTTCTCCTTGGAAGTGGAAAATATACTTTATGAGTCATTAGGAATTACGTTCCACTCAAGGTCGTCACTTAATTTTGACCTTTCAAGACTAAGTGCTGAATTAATGCATGATATGCCCTCCATCGCCTTAAACCGCGAACATTTAAGAGCTACGGTTCTCCCGTAATGTTGGAATAATCAACTCCGGGTAAACTTTAGGTTGAGCCGTCAGTGTTCTGCAATCTTTTTGTTGTTGTATTTCTTCGAGATCGTTTGCTGCTGAATTCTGTATTTAAAAAAGTCAATAAAATAGTTCAGTATTTGACTTTACGCGCAGTTTGTGAATAAATCACAGGAAGTTGTTGGTGTTTACTCCAAGGTTTCATGTCTCTACTAGTCTACTTTGACAGTCTTAAAACTGCTTTCTTCTCGATAAAACTTCTACACAATAACGTGGACGAAATTGGACACTCGTGGAAAATGAACACGAATTTTCAATGGATTGATGCCAGAAAATAGTTCACCATAAACGTTGGTTTCCTAGAAGTAACTACTGTAGTTGAATTGAAAATGTCGGGGCTCTTAAAGTTTAAAATTGTTGATGTGCAGAAACAAATCAAACAATCGAATTGTATGCGTTGGATGGAATGAAATCGTCAACTGCTTTTCATAGATACATAACTGTACTTTACCTCTTGTTTGCACGGAGGCATAGTAACCTTTTTCTGAGACAAAAAAAAATAAGTGTAAAATCTACCATGCTAGACCAACACTTTCAAATTCTCTCGTAGTTACTCTAAGGCTCCAGATCCCCGAGTATCCAGATGGGATAAATAACTTGGATGCAGGAAACTCTCCCTATACAACGATCTTGTCTGCGAACATTTTCTCTGTCTAACGATTTATTTTTCTTGTCTCATAGGTACTCTCCCGATAATATAGGATTTCTTTAGGACGAAATTTCTTCTACCACGCTTTTTTTTTTTCCGAGCTCCCTTGAATTTCATTGGGGAGAGAGTCCACCTGTATTACAATGCCTCGAAATTCGTCGCTCGTTGGATTCCCTGTCAGTGAGGGGAAAAAGTGCAATAGGAATTAGGAACACAGGGACTGGTCCGAAAGCGCGAAAACGAGGCGGATGTTCGGAAGCGCGGACCGGATAATCCCCGCGGCGAATCCGCTGGCGTGGATGATGAATACTCTCGCGCCCCGCACGGAAACCAATCTCATGCTGCGCGACGGGAAGCGGAATGTTTCCGAAGGGGCCTGGCTTTCCTCAAGATTCAAGAATTTCTAAAAAGAAAAAAAATGAACACAATGAAAATAATGATAATGGGAAAGACTCTGAACTCGTGCATTTCAATGCCGAAAATTCCCCTGCGATATTCTCTCTATTGCCCCGCATTATTTGCTCTCGGCGTGCAAGATGGAAAACGTGAGCATAACAGAAAGATAAACTGTCTGAAAAAAATTTAATCCCGAGCCTCCCCTTGGATTCCGCAGTTCGTGACGAGAAAAGGCGCGTTTCCGACGAAAAATTGTGAAAGGAATTCGCACTCGAGGGGAATTCGTAGGATGCCCTTTATTTACCGCGTAAATTAGGTCTGCTTTTTTAAATTTATTGTACCATGATCTTCTGAGAGAAGGGCTTGAGTTGGGCCATTTCTGAAGACACATATAGTTTTTAGACGAATTCATGGATTGCAGTTCAACTTCTTGTTTGGTAATGGAAGATCGTCATCCCCAAATATTAAAACCGAAGTAAGTCTGAAATTTAGTGACAAAGCGAATTAATTTAGAGTGGAAGGAGTTGGAGAATGAACATGATGATTTAACGAATGACCATTTGTAGTGTGAAGAAAATCAAGGGCGGATAGAGCAAGAATGAGTAATTTTCTCTTTAAAATGTTTTTCCCTTGACCTTATAAGTTTTTTCCGTAGTTCCAAGCGATCTGAAAAATTTCTGTAACAGTCAGGGAGTCAGAAACGTTTCATTTATGATGCTGTTGGGGAAACCTTGAAATTTTTCGACAGCCTGACCTGATTCTGTCACATCTGTCCTCTCGAGTATCCTAAGCAATTCACGAAATTTTTATTGCATCTAGTTTGAAGACGGATTCTCAAATATTTCTTTTGAATTTTTGTAGAAGAGCCGAGAAACGCTTCGATGCGAAAAATTGGTATGAGCGTCGACAGTTTAGCGCATTCCAAAAATGCTTGCGCAAAATGTGCTCTTGTATGAAAGAAGTGCCATTAAAGAATAATGAAAGAATTAGAAAAGCGTCGAGCATTTATAAATCAGGGTACTGACACGTACTTGCGTTTTGCCCGTTTGGTTCTTGAAAATTACTTGCCCGTAGAAGCGTTCGAAGTGAACAAAATAGCGTGAGTTAACATGTTAACTGAATTCGGAACATGCTGAACGAAACCATCTCAGAAAATATAGCTACAAAATATTTCCAAATTCTCGAGCGCAAAACATTTATCAATAAGATCAGATAATCTATCTCAACCCAGTTGTGTCGAGCGTTCTTCATGACGTAGTACCTTCCGGGATAAGAAATTCAAAGCAGGATGGTTTTTTCTTTATTCTGCAGATGCTCCGGGGAATCTACGAAAGTTCGTTGACGGGTTTAGCATGTAAATAGTTCATTAACTCCAAGAGATTCCTCTGTTGCTTGGGATCATCCGTATTCATGCATTTGTTCTTCGCTTCAAAATTTTTTTTCGTTTACCTGCCTCCGCAAAGGGTTGGAATGCATTGCTCCGTGTGAATGCAACTTTAGAGGGGAATCCGACCTCGCAGAGCGCCATTTGTCAGCCCACCAGGTGTGCCATATGGCGTCCTTCCTTCCCTTCATTGCACTCGTATAAAAGAAGATGCTGGTGGTCAAGAAAACGCGTGAATGCATAAGCTCTCGAGGAATTCCTCCGTACTTGCAAACGGCCGAGTGTTTGTTTTGCATGGTACTGTACCACGGACTATTGGAGCATGCTTTTATTTTAATTCTCGAGTATTTTTCGGAACAGTTGGTTTGCCGTCGCCTGCCTGATGCTTCACGGTGCGGGTTACGAACCGTGTGCTCTTGGTTCCGTTCCGTTGATTTTTGCCTCGCACTGGCTCAATAATGAATGATTGATTGTGACATTCACTTAATACACGTGAAGCGAGACGTTATTTATTTTGTCATTCCGCATCCGAACTTGCTGTTGGAATTTCTCCTGAATTCGATTAGTCCTCGCTGCAGACGCTCGTTTCAAAATAGAAAGTCGATGAAACTATGAACTGCATTGTGTGTGGGATTTTCATTCTTGGTTCCAGTATTTATGACGTCAATGATTCACGTTATTTTTACCTGCATAAAATGCTTTGGCATAGTCAAGGCAAAAGGTCGTCGGGTCGAGGGACTGCATACTTTTTTTTTAGTTCATGAGAATTGTCTTGGTGAGTGTCACAATGGGAAATTATCGATTTTATCGAATCCCATGGGCAAGATTATTCATATTCTACTTGGCTGAAATGTAGAGTTGAAAGACGTCGAAGCGGGCGAGGGGAATTTGATTAAATTCATTAAAAATGGATATTGGGTGCAAAGTCAAATTGCCCAATTTTACAAATTCGAAAAAAATCATTGCTAAGTTTCATTTCACGAGCGTACTTTTCGTCATATTTAAAAAAAAGCGAGCAGTGAGTGAGGAATGCACTTCGCACACGATAGGGTCTCAAACTACTCATTAAAAAGAGCAAGCAACCATTTGCAAGAAGTAATTTACATAATGGTTGACGCCAAACGTGTCAAGGTTAAGAACTGGATGTGTGTGACAGTTGTATCGTCTGTTGTGATATTTTGTGATCATTACCATTTCTGTGGGCATGGTTTCCAATGCTAGAAATTTAGCTCACTTTTTCAAATCACAAATATACAAATGCTTCCATGCGAGAACAAAGTCGAACGTTTCGTGAATTTTTGAGTATTTTGCGATTACTGTACAATCGTCAAGTACTCTGGGGGGATTTTTTAGAATCCAGTACCACCTGCTAGCCAGCTGAGAATATTTTGACCGTTTGGATTCAGTACTAGTTTTTTTTATTACCCCAGATTGTTACCGAGTAGCCTCTTTTGCTGTCTAATCTCTGGCTTCATTTCCTTCGTCGTATGCAAGTATTCCATGTCACTCAGCTCAAGCACCGGATTGTGGCACAGTGCCCTAGAGCGAAACTGTCGATCTCGGACAATTTCTCCCATCAAACGTCGCTTTATCTGCGAAAGAAATGAATGCATAATTGCGGAAAGGCGGTCTTGGTCTTTTGTTCTCATTCATTCTTATTTTTGTGATGCGATTATCCACAGCAGATCGATCCTGTTCCTTAGGGCTTTCTTTTCGTTTAAATTTCCCGTTGGTTAATTTGTTACAAAAGCTCCGTCAAAATTGTTCTTGTCTTTGATTGTTTAGTGTTCGGAATGAGAGTTGGACTGGTGCTGGGCTCGTGAATGATCCAGGTCAACCTATGAGTTTGTTTTAAGGGCGCGTGAGAGAAAAAATAATAATGAAGTGACCTGCTGTTCGATCATTTACTTTCTTGTAGTTCGCAGACTTGGTATGAATAGGGATGAAAATGCTTTCTGTGGAAAGAATGATTTTTGTTTTCATTTCCAGGGGATGTTCTCTTGACTTCTTGAGGTTCAGAGCAAAATGTGCATTCGCCCTGAACTGGCTTTCAGCCACATATTTTCATTCTTTTAAAGAAAAGACGAATGAAAAGCGCGGGAAGATTTTTAGAAAATCCGTGTGGGGATTTTTTTTTATTGTACGAGAGAAAGGAGGAAAGCAAAACTCGTGCTATTTCCAGTATGGTTGAAGCTGTTGCACTTTTTTCCCTCGCTGCTGAAGACGCATGGAGTTGGGACAAGAAAGATCTTTTTTTTGTGATCAGATTCGTTTTGAGAGTATTCTTTTTAATAAGAAAAAAAATCTAAGGAAAATTCTGAAAAACCTCTGCTACGACCATAAAATGGCACCGCATACAATTGTACTCTCTTGCATGGTTGACTTTTCATTGTCACTGAAAAGTATCAGGGACAATTTTTCAACTCTTCCATCTTTTAAAAATACGTGAACTTAAAAAATTGAGTATATTTAATTTTTATTCAAATGCGAGTGATTTGTATACTAATATAATCCGGAAACCGCAAACTAGGCGTCAATTTAAAACCCATAAATCAACGAAGATTTCACTGTATTTTAACGGGATAGCATAACGGGTTTGAAGACACTGCAGCTGAAATACTGATCCACTGTTTTTTTAGTCCACACATAGAAGTTCCACGTGAAAAGCGTGTGAGATTCTTGTTCCAAATTGTTTTCAAGGTTCACCGCCTTCCATTTTTCACTTCCATTAAAAGTAAATCAAGAAATTGAAGCTCTTGAAAAAGTTTACTGAGGGTTGAGAGGTTCCGGGGATGTTCAAGCTCGATCTTTTTTAAAGCTTCAATGGGATTTTCGCGGTATCTTATTTACTTTCTGATGTCTCTCCACTGAGAGAAACCTCTTCGCTTGAAACCTTTGAAAATGTTTTTTGTCGCGCAGATTTTTATCGCGCTCTTGAATGAAAGACGCATTTTCCCGTGTTCCTCCGGGAATGTTTTCCCCTCTGATGACCTTTGAAAAATCGACCTGTGATTCGCATCTTCGCTTGAAAGCTACGCATTTCGTCGTTTCTCCTATCCTCATTTCGATCTAAAAAAAAATGATAAAATGATTGCACAATTTCTTAAACTGCTTGCTTATGTTTTCATTTTTGTTTTTCAGCTAAGCGGCAGAGAAGTGCGAGACGGCGACATGTTCACGAACCCCTGGTACGGCGTCGCTGCGCAAATCCCATCCAGCAGTGAGGCTAATGAGTCGCATGACTCGGAAGTCGTTCGGGAACATTTGGAGTCCATTCAGGCCAAGCTCAAACCCGGCTGGACTGTGAACGTATCCAAAGAAGGAAGGTTCTTCTATTGCAAGTGAGTTTTTTTTTTTTTTTCATTCCCGAGGAGAAGTGATTTGGGGAATCGCATTCATTTGCGGTTCGCCGACTTCCGTCCTTGTTCCCCTCTCGACACACACTGTATGTTGTACGCTGAAACATCATTTTACAGTATTCGGAATTCGTCAAAAAGACAAAGTCTTCGGTATCACAGCGGTTCTCTTTAGGAACCCTTTCCTAATCGGAAATGAAAGGAAAAATCAATGTTTAGTACCTGCCTGCTGACTTACATGAATAGTAGGGCCAGCAAAAATAGGCGTACATCTTCGTCACGCATGATGTGATATTTTAATTAATAAAGCAGAGTAAAGAACATTTCAAATTTAAACACTAGGTATCAACGATGGAAACTGAAATTGAAACAACCTTCGCCGACTGAATTAGCTATAGACTTTTTTTTATATATATCAAAGCAGAGATAATTTGGGAAATTCAGATTCGTCATGAAATGTATTTCCTATCACTCACTTTCGCTTACAAAATTTTAGGTAGGATAAAAAGAAAGCATTGTAAGACACAGTTCAAATATTTTGCTTGAATTTAACTCCGGGACTTTCTGAAACAGCAAATTTTGTTTTTCTGATTTTTTTTTATAGCCGGAAAAATTCTTCCCTATATGTTCAGTTGTCGGATAAAGGAAAACATCCTGTCCTGAGCGACTTTTTTGAGTATGATGCAATTTTTTGATAATATCGCGATTCATCTGTTTAAATCTGATAGATTTAGTCATCTTGGACGAAATATTTAAAGAACCCAATCATCGATCTCGATCCTGTGCAACCATGAACTCCAAATGCCTTTTAACCTTTATCGTGTATTTTTTTATATCTGGGTTCAACAGCAGAAGAATTTATTCCTTATGTTGGTAATAGTAGCCTCAAGGAACAACTTCTTAATATTTTCGTTGATGTGTAGTGTATATCTTTATTTTTCCATTTTTCGCAATCCATGTACAGTTGGTTTAAAATTAAGAATCACTCACCCATTTATATTTTTAAAATGTACATTTTGAGTCATGAGTCTCTTGACAGAGTGATTTATGTGTAGTTTTTCAAAAGTTTTATTCCATATCTTCGCTTTTGTTTTCCATAGCTTTTTTGTGGTTGGAATAAAAGATTTGTTTTATTCCAAAGCGTTCTAATAATATTTTCTTACGTTTAATAACTATTTGAATCTCCGGAGAAGTGGAAGAGAACTTTGGAAACCGATGAAGGTTTCCTCCTCAATCAAAGCTAAAAATAATTTGAATTCAAGAGTCAGTCTGTCCTGAACTTTCTTGAAAAAATTATCTTTTTATTCCTTTTGATTTGTGTGCGCAAATCTGTGTTACTTCTGTGAGTTATTCAAATCTGTTTTGTACATTGTTTGTGCTTATTCTTTGTATTCAACTCTTCTGAAGATCATAATATAAATGATTGAAAAACTAGGAACTTATTTTCAAGGAAACCCCTTGAATATGTGTTCTTGTCCTTCAAAAGGCTGATTGCCTGCATTTTTATTTATGTTCTTTTGTGATCCTTGATCACAAGAGCACTATCTTGTGCAGTATTTCCAGGAGGTTGTCAGGAGTTATCCCATATATTATGTTTTGTCTCCATTACTTAAGATTTATAGAATCTTGATCACTTGTTAATAATGTCTTGTTCGAGTTTAGCCGTTTTATCTCACCCTGTTGTGATGTAAGCTTGTCTAAAGTCTCCGAAAATGTGCGCTTTAAAAAAGAGACGTCCGGTTGCTCACGGTTATTTAACCCTCTTTTTTTTTGTCTGCTTCCAATAACGGGTTGTATGCTTCACCGGGTTGTATTTCCGGGACGCAAATGGGTTGGCCGACACATCTACTGCATACGTAGTTAAAGCCAGCGATGGATTATTGTGGGCCTTTCTTTCTGGTCAGGTGAACTGATGAACTTCCTTCCTCACACGTTTACCGGTTTACAAGAAGTACTTGCGCTTGAAATATGTAATCCCGGCATTATTCGAATCCTCTTCGGAGATGCTTTTTTTGAATGCATTCATACGGATCGTGACGCATCTTCATTTGTCGTGGTCATTTATTTTGTCACGACCCAGTTGTCCTGCTTAATGAAAACTGTCATTTCCATTGCGCTCTGTGTCACGAAGAAGAGCGCGTGTTGGAAGCTCGGGGTAAGTGCCGCGCGAGAAGCGAATGCGTTTAGCATCTATTTTCGGTGGATTCTATTTTTTTCATCAGAAGGTGTGTGTCTTTCGAAGATGTTACTAACATCCTGAGAGGGTGACAGATGAAAAACACCGCGATAAAAAGACGGAACGAGAAAAAACACAGCAACTGGGTGCAACGAGGAGAATTTTCGAAGGAAATCCAGCAAAATCCACACGTGCAGTAGTTTATCTAATCACTCACGTTTTTGTCTGTTTTTAGAATTATATTCCCAGGTATCTTATGGCTTTGAAGGCACAGTACCGTAGATTAAAAGAAAACTGGTTTTCGCCAAAAATGTTCGGGATATATTTAATTAAATTTCGACCACCACAAATTCCGAAGGCTGTTCATTATTTGCTCTGCATTATTCTTGATACGAATAAAAACTTTGCTCGAATTTTTTTTTAACAACACCAGTGAACACTTCCGGAAGAAGAAATGAAGTTCCAAAATAGCGTACGAAGTTCAATCCAGAAAAAAAGGTTCAGTCATGTGTGTTTTTCGATAATCTTCTTGATTTTCTTTTTGCGGTTTGGGTTCTTTTTACCCGACACGTTTTGGGAAATGGGTTGACTTCATATAGGGAATATCATCTACCGTACGATGCTTTTGGTCCCTGGAAACATTTTGAATTGTTTTACAGTGCATGTATTAGTTGATTGATAACAGCAATGATTACAGTTGCCACTCTACTCATTTGCAGCGAATTTTTCTCAAGAATTATTTCATGGACTCGAGTTGAACAGAGTACACCTGCGAATTTTTTTTTACTGCTTTCCTGCGTGTCTCCATGTGCCATAATAAGCTAGCACTATTTGAAATAATGACAAAAACTAAATTGAAGCCTCATGAGCCAACATTTGTATTCGTGTCAGACGCGCACCTGCGTTACTACTAAATTTTCGAGGGGAAAAAGCGAGAGTGGTGCTAGACAGAAAATATTTTAATGCCTTCATGGCATATTGTGATGTTTTGTGTGAGAAAGCTCAGGACCGTGTCAAATGAAGTCAGTCTCAGTGCAGTGACTAATGAGGTTAAGGCGAAAACGCCGAGGGTTGCACCGGCTAAATTCATGAATCCTGACAGTTATCACCGGCAATCCTCTCCAGCAGGTTTCCGGCAAACTGTATCTTTCTTATTGCTATTGTCCTAACGTTTCCCTTTCCAGATCTCGTATTCCTTTTTTTCGATTGCGTGCTTGCCTGGTGCAAGAGGAAGAATGAAAAATGGGCAACGAGAGGAAGGAAGATTTTCACTCGCGTTCTTCTGACACGCATGGCTGGCGCTCGGTTCAAGGCTCTTCGCCGACGGCCGTGCCGAAGGGCGAGGAACTCGGGCTATTTTACTGTTTGTAGGACATTGCATTATTCTCCAGACAGTGTGACGTGATTTTTGTTGGTGTTTTCCCCCTCTTCCTTGATCAGATGCTTCTCGAGCTCTTTGACCCGCGGAACCCGTTTCTGAAATTTTTATTTATATATTTTGTTTCTGTGGCGGAGAGCTTTCTAAAGTTACTTTTCGTTTCTAAGCCATTTGCCCTTTTTGAATTAAATTCACATGGTGGAGTTTTTATTCATTTTCAAAGTGAATTCTCATGACGGAGTTCTTCAGAACTACCATATGCATGATAAATCAGTGCAATTATGAATGCGGAATGATTCTCTCCTTTCTTTGTTAATGCAATAGCCTGTGCATATTTTGGAATTTCTACTGCTTAAAATGTTATTTCTTTCCCTTGTGTTGATTTTTTTTTTACCTTGGATTCTTGGTGTTTTTGTGGAGCTCCTGGAAGATTTTAGAGAGGCCAGGGCTTCGAGAAGCACAGATTGAGAACCTCTGGTCTGGATGAAGTAGAACACGTTGCCAAACATTCTTTCAAAATTTACATATTTGTGGATGAAGTACCGCAGTCAAAAATGAGGACTTATTTTCCCTTATTTTTGCGAAAATGGAACATAGAGAGTGCCAATAACTGCCCTTATTGAGGCAATGTATGTTTCGAGAAAAAAAAACTCTGCTATATTTAATTACAATTCCATTGAATCTTGAATATGAGCACAATATTATTCTATGAAGATCATCAAATTAACATGAAATGCATTTTTGAATGCGCACATGAAAAAAATGGCGCGAAACATCCTTCATTTGACTACCAATCTGTCACGATTTTCCGTCAATGTGTTCTTCGAAAATATGCTTTGGCTTTTCAATTTTATCTCAACAATTTCTTCATAATCGACCCAATCAATCTTAACTGATAGAAGAACACTTTCTTCGACAGACGATCGAAGGCGTTCTCATAGAGGACGATGCGCTGTTTTTTTACTAACTTGAAAGTACTGTACGCACTTCTCAAAAATTTCTGGGAATTTGTGAATTGGTCATTAAACACAGAATCAGTATCAAACATTCTTCTTCCACGAAAATTACTACTGCACTGAATCATTGATGTCAAGCTATTCGCATGAAGGACATCAAGAATATGATGAAAACTTGGGCTCGGATGAGCGTCACGAGGAAAAAAAGAATACTTCCATTAATGTTCGAGTGCTCCTGGAAATACCAGGAATACAACCATTCCCCCGCTTGCACAGAATTGTCCTCATCTGATTCCTAACCCCCCATTTTTTTGTGCCTTGGTTCGATCGTAATGATGGAGTTGATGTGTCGAGAATCGTTTGTGAGGTCGTATTGGTGCGATTAGGATGAACTGCGCTGGAGCGAACTTGCGGTGCTATGGTGTGATTTCAAATCCCTTTAATTGACCCCCTCACTGTAATAATGACTGCTCTTTTGC